GACTGGCCAGCCTGCAGTTCAGACCATTTACCAAACACTTGACACATCACAAAACACAACAAAGAGGGTAGAGCAGCTGGAATCTGATATCTTCTTCTCCAAGAGGTTCCACAGCTGGTCTCCTCGGTTCCCAGATGTTTTCCGACTGGAAATCACGGTCCTGTTGCGACTCGTCTCAGATGTTTTATGAGATTAGTCATAGAGAAAAATGAGGCAGTGAGTTCAATGGTAACATTGCCCACAGGAAAAGCGCAGATTCAAACACCGCATCAGTGCCACGAGCTAGCTCAGACTGAGTCAGACGGAATCCTGTTTGCTGTGCTGCACGGGGCAGTCTGAGCATGCTCAGTATGAACTCCTCCTGACCTTGAGGTTCCCATTAATTTTGCATGAGGTTTCCTCATCAAATAGACCAGGGGGGATTGTAGTGCAGCAGCACTGGCTCACCTGTTTTTTTTTTTTTCTTTTCTTTTAGTGCCAGACACCCACTGAGAATACAGTGGCCGCACACACACAAAACCTGCATATTCAGAGCTCGAGAGTTGATAAATGAAATTCAATGCTGACCAGGGTGCTCTCTGCAATTACGTTTAGCAGGTTATCTCTGCTGTTGTTTCAATAAATGGATGTTCATTTTCCTTTTTCTAGCCAAATGTACCACGATGACTATCCCTCAAACTGCCCCTTTATCATTGTGTCCGCTTTTGTGTGTTCGGGAATGTGTATTTGTGTGAGTAAGCTTATAAAAATCCCAGGGAATTAGACAAAAACCGACAGATGCACGGTAAATGTGCCCATACATAATTCCCACCGGTCTTTGTCAATCGACCTGGCACGACTGATTCATCTCACGTTGTGAGTGTGATGCTTTTCCACTTATTAAAAATTAAGCAGCTAAATCCCTATCAAATGGAATAGCCGAAGAGGGCAAACGAGGGGCCGTGTCTGCTTCACAGAGCTGTGGACATTTGGCTTAGCACGAAATTGATCCATTCGAAGTATTCTAGGAAAATGATCTGGAGGTATTGTACGGTTCAATTCCCAACAAAAATGAAAAAAAGGAGTCTTTTCTAATCACACCCTCTTTGCTAAGTATATGTCTCCATTGCCCTGTACCTAACTCCATTCATTTAGCTGAAGTCGCATTTCACTATAGCAGACAAAAGCCAGAGAATCATGTATTTATTTATCTATTTATTTATTTTATTTCCACTTTCCAATCACCGCCGTGCCCTTGATCCTGCGTTACGGCAGATTCACAGCAAACGCAGTGACAGGTGTATTCACAAAGCCGGGGCTCTGCGCTCCGGTGCTAACGCCGGACTATTTGTCAAACCGAGGCGCCGTCACAATTCCCCGTTTTTCGCGTTTCGCAGTGTCACCGAGTGGGCGAGTGGGAAGGTGGAGCAGAAGAGATGAAAACAGAATCAGTGGGATGAAGCCGGCGAGGCTTACAGTTACTCATGAGGATTATGAGCATGAAAACAAGTGACACCCTGGCAGTGGCGTTCTTCTGCAATATTTAAAGCTGTTAAATATCACCAATCTACAAATTTTGGTTTATGACTGAAGACATTAGAATGTTAGTGTGAGTTATTTTTCGCCCTGCTTGGTCATTTTTCTGTGATAGATTCTTTTCCTCATCCACAAAAAGCAGACAATTTTGTAAAGGTTCTGCATTTCCCTTTCCCTTTCCCTTTGATGGGCACTCCAGCTTCGAGATAGCCACTCTTAATGATTTACATCCACACAAAATGAGAAAGCAGATTTAAAATATTTTCAAGTATTTCGTATTTTTTCTTTTGTGCCACAGCAACACTTCTCAGAGACTCTTCTCCCTTCATGTTGCATGGGGTGAGACTCTCTAAGAACCGGGATGCGGCTGTTTACTTTCTATTGATCCTACATCCTTCATTCGTCTCGAAATGTAAAAGACTGTATTCGTTCCTTTCTGAAGAAAGAAAAAAAGGGGAAAAAACTCTCCAACTGACATTGTTTAGTCTTGTTTGAGCAATCCATCCATCTCCAATTATATTCAGGAACAGCGCCTTTCGCACAACCAATTCTAAATATGTCTGATGTCAGCAGTCATCTCTCGCTCCAGCTGAGAGGGGCATATCAAAGAGACATCATATTGAATTCATAAATGGAAAAATAGTTATATTTCCAGAATACTCGCACAGAAAATCTGGCCATTTTCCTATTTTTCTTTCGCAAATAATTAAAGATAGATGTTCTGCTCCCCAATGCATCAGCTCGCCGTTATATGAACCCTTTTCAGGGTCATGACCATTGATATCATGCTGTGTTATGGCATGTGCATGTCTTTTTAATGTTTGACTGTGTAAAACTTACACTTAGAACTGTAATCTTTCTAAGACTGAGCCACTGACGCTTACTACAGCATGGAATAAGATTGAACTGCATGCATTGACCACGCACGTGCTACGGCAGAACTTTATTTTGCTTTGGAATTCTCAATCCTGTCTCATCAGAAGACATTCATACATTTCAGAAATGTCATTTCTGAAATGGAGGAAATGTCCTCCATGGCTGAAATTGTGAAAATGCTACATAAGAATTGTTCCGTAAAAGCCCATGATCGGAAAAAGAACTGTAAGTAATAAAACGTGAAACCAAAAAACAACGTGTACTCTCTAACCCCAAGCAAGTATCTTAAAGCTGTAAACTTCCCAGCATACAGAAATGCCAACCATGAGGGCCATAAAGCCACACTGTTTCGTTTTACCGCCTCTTGATATTTTGGTAGGCTTTCGATGGCCTCTGTGTGGGCTTGTCTACAATACGAATAATTAACCTGTGGCTGAAGAGTTTTTTAGCATGACGGCAGTGTTTCAACCGACAACTGTAGTGAAAGCCAAAGGGCCTTGGCGTCAATACCATAAGAAAACTTTGATCATGTCAAAAGATACTCTTCATCACAACATGGAGATCATGTTTAAAATGTTGCTTTTTATAGAACTCTAAATGCTAGATATTTATGGATCTATAAATAATGAATACAAACTAATAGAAAAATGGATAACATATTCAAATAACATAAATGTAAAAACAAAATATCAAGGTTTACCTTTTCTACTACATAGTACAAGTACAATTAGCTTCCAATTCCCCTCAAACCACACGGAATTCAACAAGATCATACAGGAACAATTGCAAATCACAATTAAAAACCATTGATCAATCTCAAGTAAATAACTTTGTCTTGATTTGATAAGAAAGACAGACTAAAACCCAAAATAACAATAAGACGACAAGTTTCAGTAATCATTACACAAGCTGTTTCAGCTATTCTTTTCATTTTTCATTAATGTTTTTGTCATTTTACACCCCTTTTAGTATTCCAAAATGGGTTTAAAATTAAGACCACAAAGATTAAGGGCGATACAGAGCATAGGGCTGATGATGACACATACATGGGCCTTTCATCATGCATCGACTTTGATCCTCAGGCTGAGGATAACATAAAATAGTTTTGATTTCTCTAACCATCACCTTTAACTCTCAACCCATGCAATTCACAGGGCGGAGCCTAGTCCTTTCTCACCTGAGAGTTAGACAAATAACAACATGCACTATCCATCCATACAAATTGCGTGTTGCAACACAAGTGAATGTCTTTACGTCACAACAAGTCTCTTATTACTATCTTCAGGTAGAGAAACCGAGGAACAATGCTGAGTATCTCTGGTTTGGAATTTTGTGGATGAGATTATTCAGTGATGGCACTATCACGCTTTTTAGCGAGTTATATTGCCTGTTATGAAAGCCGGCACCTGTGATTTTTCTTACAGAAAATTAGGCTCCCCTCATCAGTGTGGGGTGGGTACCTCTGAATGAAGTTATTGCTTTTTTTTTTTACTTTAGCAGATTAACGAAGCCAATAATGATTCTAGAACACGTACAAAATGGGCTAATGTTTCCTTGGCCTATCACTGGAAAAGAGAATAAAGAGCCACAAATAAAATGCATCCAGGTAAGATGTAAGTAAAAACAAATCATTTAAATGGTGTGAAATGTCATAAGAGGGATTTTCCATTTCAGAGTCCCTGCCAAAGGTTAACATTATGTCTGACCAATTCCACACTGTGAAGCCTAATTTTCTGCCGTGATATGCAACCAAATGGATTTTATTTTTGTTAATATCTGGGGTAAGTGGCAATTAAACGTGCCGCTCTGAACATAATGTCCTTTTGCTTGGCTTAACTAATTTTACAGTTCGTTCACAAGGTGTAGAGCTGTGCCAGGCTTGCACGGCCCAGTGCAAGTCACAACACGACCACATCCTAAAGGCATTTCATTCACCCCCGCTCCGGACATTTTTAAGCTTCTAAATTCAGCATCGGCAAAGTAAATAGCAAGAAATTTACGCTTTCTATTTTCTCAGTGGAACAAAAGGAAAAAGTTCTCTCCTTGCCCGAGGGGGAAACAAAACGACAAGGAGAATTAGTGTCAGGAAAACTGATGCAACCCAAATAAGGATCTAAAAAAATTAAATGTCTCCATTATTCCAAATAAAATAATGGACAGAAATCAAGTGCCTTTAAAAGCATTATGAAAACTGTCAATCCAAAGGGGTGACAGTTTGCTTACCCAGACATCAAATTGTCCTCTTAAACCTGGTCTCTCATTCTATTCCTGTTCATAATTGAGGGCAGTGACTCCAAGCCGTGGAGTGACTGACCCAGAAGAATGTTCTTTGATCAGGGACGCTGTATTTAGGATAAAAAAGTGCCCAGAAATACCAAAATCACAGGAGAAAAATTTAAAGTCTCAAGTTATTATAGCGTTTCGGTAAACAATGGTTTATTTAATCGTCTAGCAGTAGTATTAAAAAACTGTGGCCATTTTGAGTCACACTTCTGTGAACTGATAGGTGTAATTTCAGTGTCAACCCTATTTTTTTATGCTCTCAATCTTCTCCCTGAGAAATACAGCACATCTGGCATGTAAACGGCTGAATTCTCTTCTGTGTTGGATAGTTCCAGGGACCTTTTTTTTTCAAAACTGTCATTAGTTTGGTATGAAAATAGGTGCAGTCTGCTGGATGCGAGGGAAACAGAGGCAGTTATCCTGCTGAACATAAACCCAAAACAATGAGCTGAAAAAACACCAATACACTCAGTAAGCCTAATGGGATTTGCAGAGTTGGTTGTAAATCTCTTTGGGTATGTCACACCAAGCAAACCCCTTCCATATTACACGTTGTCATTTGATCCATTGTTCATATAGAATATTGATTGGAGCAGCTTTAACGCAAGAATCCAGTCTAATAGTGATAATCTGCGCGTGTTTGGTGTTGTAACATTACATCAGAGCCTGAGGAAAGGCCACAGATCATCCTGACAACACCAGCATT